ACAAAAAAAATGGGTCTTTCTCCCTTCTCCAAACCAGGCAATTGAATGTATGCAATGTTTCTTTCCCTTCCCTCCATCCTTTCCCCTTCTCCTCTTCCCTTTTCCTTTTTATTCCCTTTCTTTTCTTCCTCTTTCTGCCATCTTTCTTCTCTCCCTCCCTCCCTGCCTCCTCCCCTTTTGGTCCTTCCTTTCCCCTTTTGTCCTTATTATCATTCCTTTCCTTACTTTTCCACATTCTTCCATCTTTCTTCTCTTCCTCCTGTTCTCCCTCATTTTTCCTCCCCCCCTCTTTTCCTTTCCTTTCCTTTCCCTTCCTTCCTCTTGCTGTTGGAATGAATCATGATGGAGACTCTTGAAAAATTTAGCAAAAGAGCAAAATGCTTCTCATCCACACAAGGGTCAACATGTAAACCCAGCTCTAAAAATGAACTATTTATTTGTATCTCACTTTTGTTATTTTTATAAACAACCCAAGGTGGTGAACATATCCAACACACCTTCCTCCTATTTTCTCCCCAACAACTTTGGGCTGAGAGAGAGAGACAGGCCCAAAGTTACCCAGCTGCCTCTCAAATCTAAGGCAGGACTAGAACTCACCGTCTCCTGGTGATTGGCCCAAAATCACCCAGCTGGCTTTCATGCCTAAGGGAGAACTAGAACTCCCAGTCTCCCACTTTCTAACCTTCACCACTAGGCCAAACTGTTGGCCTATTTGATTCCACCCAGTGGTGGGATTCAAATTTTGCTACTGGTTCGGTGGGCGTGCCTTGGTGGGCATGGCAGGGGAAGGATATACTGCAAAATCCCCATTTCCTCCCCACCCCACTAACCTGCTTTCCAGCTCCATTCTCCTGTGCAGGGCAACCAAAGAGCCAGCCGATCAACTGGGACTCGGGAGGCAGAGAAGAGATGGGGGTTGGTGGGGCCAGTCAGAGGTGGGATTTGCCCGTTCTCCAAACTACTCATAATTTCCACTACCGGTTCTCCAGAACCTGCTGAATAGTACCTACGATTCCACTTCTAGGATTATCAGTTCAGACATTGTGCTAAACTATGGAATAATCTTTTCCTGATGAGGATCTCCCAGAGTGGGTCTATTTCTCTTCTTTTTCTTTATTTTTCTTCCGTCCCTCATTCTTTCTCCTTGGCCTAACATTTTCTACCTCTTTTGCATTCAGCAAGGGGGCAAAGCCATTTCTGCCCAGCTCTGAATTTTTGAAGATGTCGGGTTATTCTTTATCGTATTCATTTACTGAAGAATATTAGAATATTATTCATACGTCACTGTATACACCGTATTGGAGGCATTCATCACATCCATACACTTTCTTGAAGGGACTGGAAATTGGTTGTACATGTATATGAAATTCTGTGGGAATATTTCCAAATACTTTTTCTCCTCTGGCTGATTTTTTTTGTTTTAAGTTCCAGAGATGTATGCCTCATATTTACCTCAGTCCTGATACACAGTTTTAACTATAGGTAAGAAGATCACACCTAGAGTCCTGCATCCAGTTTTGGTCACCACACTATAAAAAGATGTTGAGACTTTAAAGTGCAGAGAAGAGCAACCAGGATGATGAGGGGACTGGAGGCTAAAACATATGAAGAACGGTTGCAGGAACTGGGCCTGGCTAGTCTAGGGAAGAGAAGGACCAGGGGAGACAGGAGAGCAGCCTTCCAATATTTGAGGGGCTGCCACAGAGAGGAAGGGGAGTCAAACTATTTTCTAAAGCACCAGAAGGCCAGACAAGGAACAATGGATGGAAACTGAACAAGGAGAGATTCAATCTGGAAATACAGTGCGAACAATCAACCAATGGAACAGAAGTTGCCCTCAGAAGTTGTGGGAGCGCCATCACTGGAGGCTTTCAAGAAGAGATTGGACTGCCATCTGTCAGAAATGGTGTAGGGTCTCCCGCTTGGGCGGGGGGTTGGGCTAGATGACCTACAAGGTCCCTTCCAACTCTGATGATCTGTTATCTAATTCTTGACTTATAACAGTTCATTTAGGCACTCAAAAAGTGACAGGATCATTTTTCACACTTACCGACCACTGCAGCATTCCCTGTGGTCACATGATCTCTAGTCAAGGCTTGGCAACTGACTCACATTTATGACGGTTGCAGTGTCCCGGGGTCATGTGATCCCCCTTTTGCAAACCCCTAACAAGCCAAGTCAATAGGGGGAAAGACAGGCTTGCTTAACAACCTCATGATTCACTTAACAACCACAGGGGATTGCTTCGACCCTGTGACAACCCCCCCCCCCCCCGGTTGTAAATGGGATGCAATTTACACAATGGCCTTGCTTAGTACCAGAAATTTTGGCTCACTTCTGACCCTGTTGTAACCCAGCTCCCCAAACACGACAAAACCTCTGAAGTGAACTCAAAATATTCCTTTATTAGGAATGCCAGCAGCCCTGGCAAAAACTTTCTCCCTTACTTCAGGCTAAGAAGTCCGTCTGGCCGGAAGACGAATCGTTGTCTGCCACATCTATTCATCTCCACCCCCTGCCTTTTATCCCCAGAGCTAAGGTGGGACTTTGCTAGCAGCGGTGGCTCTTCGGGCCCAAGGACCGGCCCATAGATCTCTACTGCTCTCCTCTCCTCTGCCTTCTGTGCATCCACGTGTCAGGCAATGGACCCGGCGGTTCCTCCTCTTCCTCATCAGCCACCTCCAGACCTGGGGGCTGTTGACTCTCTGTCTGAGGGCTGACGGACGGCCCAGGCTCTGCACCTCCCTCTCCCTCTCTCTCTGCCAGCTCTATTCCCTCTTCCCCCTCGGTGCTCTGTTTGCCCTGATGCTGACCATGACTCCCACGCCGCTTCCTCCTTGTCTGATTTGGCTGCTGGAGTGGTCGGCAGCCCACAACAGGTCCTAAATCAGTGGGAGCTAACCTTTTTGGGTTCCTGTGCCAAAAACTGTATGCGTGCTTGCAAGTTCGCGCTCATGTGTCAGCACCCAGAAGGCAATGTGTGCCTCCCCCAGGCCCCCTTTGCATGTGTGTGCAATCCCCCACACCTACCCACCCCCCACTTATCTGCACTGTGCCTCACGGCTGATTTTCGGCCGGTTTGAGGCCTTTTTCGGCCTTCCAAAGGCTTGAGGAAGGCTTCTGCAGGCTTTTTAGGCCGAAAACCAGCCCTGTTTCATCACTTCCTGTTTTTCGAGAATACCGGAAATGACGAAACGGGGCTAGTTTTCAGCCTACAAAACTGGTAGAAGCCTGCAGGAGCCTTCCTCAAGCCTTTGGGAGGCCGAAAAAGGCCTCAAACCAGCCGAAAATTAGCTGTGAGGCACGCGCATGCGCAGTGAGGTAACTTTGACTGCAGCTCACGTGCCGGCACAAATGGCTCTGCGTGCCACCTGTGCCACGCATGCCATAGGTTCACCATCACGGTTCTAAGTAAACTTGGGAGGGGTACCCAAAGATCATCTAGCCCCACCCCCCTGCAATGGGTCTGAAAAGCTAACTAAGCCGCCCTCAAGGGATGCTTGCCTATATACAGCCAGAACTTTTGCATGCGTTCAGTGCCCCACCATTAAAAACAAACCATTCGGCAGGATGATGGGTCGCTGTGAATTTCTGGTCATGAATATTCCTTGCCTCCTTCTGAACTCAGAAAATAGGGTCAGGTTAGAAAATGAGACCACAAGGAAAGGCCAAGGCTGCAGGCGAGACCGATTTCTTCTATAAATACGGGGAAAAAAGCTAACAAAATCTTTTAACATTTGAGAAGAGACTTTTAATGCCCCCTCGCTTGGCCTCAGTCAAGATCCAGTTGCAAGAAAACCCGTTTATTTGATTCAATAGGGTGGTTCTGTAGGGGTGTCTACAGGAGAGGGTACAGTAGAACTTCTCGTCATGACCATAATTTTTTCCTTAACTTTGGTCGCAACCCGAACCTAATTTTGGAAATTTGGCACCTACAAAAAAGAAAAAATGGCACGGAAGGAGAAATTGGCCTCAAAAAACAATAAAAATCGTGAATTTTTTGGTGGGAACCCGATTTGGTCTCGGTCAGAAGCATTAGTTACCAGAGATTCTACTCTATATTGAAAAAAACTAAGATGGCTGGCCATTCCGGCATGATTTGAACCCACAGCTCTTTTATGAAACAAATATTCATGGTTATTTGGATCTTCCCACTGACACGGTAAGCTAAACTTGTGGCGTTTCTTAAACCTCAGTCTCTGTCAGATGGGCAGACCTTCAACTCCCAGAATTCCCCGCTGGCTGGGGAATTCTGGGAGTTGAAATCCACCTACAGGTAGTCCTTGACTTACAACAGTTCATTTAAGCGACTGTTCCAACAGTACCAGAAAAATGTGTCTTATGACCGTTTTTCACCCTTACGACTGTGGCAGCATCCCCATGGCCACGTGATCAAAATTCAGACACTTGGCAACTGTTTCATACTTATGACCATTGCAGTGTCCCGGGGGGGGGGGTAATCCTCTTTTGCGACTTTCCGACAAGCAAACTCAACGGGGAAGCCGGATTCACTTAACGTCTGTGTTACTAATTTAACCACCACACTGATTCAACAAACAAATATGGCCAAGAAAAATCGTAAAAACACTGAACAAATTTCTCACTTAGCAACGTGCATTCAGGACTCCATTATGGTTGAACGGCGAGGACTACCTGTATCTGAAAGGGACCGAGGTGGAGAAACTCTCTTCTAAAGGCACAACGGAGAGCAGATAAGGCAATCTGTCTGAAAAGTCCACATTCCTGATAAAATTCTATATATTTTTTTAGTTTGTCAGCCATTTGCAAGGCAGTTCTAAGTGTTTGCGGCAAGTGAGTGGGATTCTACCGGTTCGCACCGGTTCACTCAAACTGGTAGTAAAAAATGCTACTGTTTGGGCGAACCAATAATAAAAAAAAAAACAGGTACTGGTTTGGCTGAACCAGTTATTTCTTTTCTTTTTTCTTCTTCTTCTGATGATCAGCTGTTCTAATGATCAGCTGTTCCGACATTCCCCTCACTGTCTTACTGCTTCCCCCAGGAGGCTTCCCTGAGTCCCAGGAGGCAAAAAGGGGCTGTAGGGCCCCATATTCGACTAGGCCCGCCAGTAATACAAGAATAAAAGATGCTAATCGGGGATTCCCTCCCACCGGTGACGAAGTGGATGTGGAACGGGGATTCTTCGCACTGCTACCTGGAAGGGGGAGGCTGAGTGGGAATTCCCATATGACATGGCTGGGGCGCTCCGCTATAGTGCGGGGAGGGAGGGATTTATGTTTACAGGGTGTTCAGGGAAGTAGAGGGGATCGGCGATAAGGAGGGTGCAAAGCGTTCGAAGCTATGGCATGGGAGTACAGCCTAAGTCACTAATTAGCCGTATTAGGAAACATCGAATACATGGGTAATTAGAATAGGGCGGCGTACAGGAGGTAGCTGGCGATTAGATGGGTGGGGTTATGCTATAAAGAGCGCCTCAGCCACGGGAAGGCAAACGCTCCCAGCGAGATTGGAATTCAAGCCGGCGTCGCCGGAGGGGATGTGCATTACTTGTACATAAATAAATGACTTGCATACATCAATGTTTGTTGGTTTGTATCTTGGGGATATGAACATCTTGAAGTACCGGCTGATGGGCGCCCGGGAGTGTGTGTGTGTGCTGCCAAAAAACAAAAAAACAAAAAACAAAAAGGCCACGCCCACCCAGTCAAGATGGCCACAACCACCTAGACCCTCCCACCTTGAGGCACCCCCACTGCACTCAAAAATGGCTGCCCAAGAGCTGCTTCCCTGAGGCCCGGGAGGTCAAAAAAAAAGGAGTGCAGGGGGATAGGTGGGTGTTACAAAAAAGAAGCCACGCCCACCCAGTCACACGGCTACAACCACCTAGCCACGCCCACAGAAACGGCAGTTAAAAATATTTGCATCCCACCCCTGGTTTGCGGGAGCCGTTTTTGAACCTCGCCTCCTTCAGCTCTCTAAATTAAGAGTTTTCCTTCTGCTCTTTTTTTGCAGAAAGTCTGCGTCGTGGGGGATCTTCTCCTTCCTCGTTGCCCTCCATGCTAGAGGTGTAAGGCAGTTCCACCAAGCTGGGGGCGAACGGACCCACCACCCAAGGCAGGGGGACGTTCTGCACCACGTAGTCCACGATCTCGTCCACCGAACCCCGGGCTTTGACGATCCGTTGACAGCTCTGAGCCAAGGTGCTGGGGGACACCTCCTGGAAGGAACCGGCGGCCAAGAAGGATCCGTTGAGGTCCTCCATCATGTGCCAGATCAGCTTGGCTTTGTCTTGGAGGCCGGTGGGCAGGCCCCGGAGCTGAGACACGAAGGTCAGATAGGAAAGCTGCAGCTGTCGAGTCAGTCCACGAAACATGGCCATCGCCCGGGACTCGACCTAGAAAACAGCACCCAAAAAAAGTGCTTAGGAAATCAGAGGAAAAGATGCCCTAGAAAGTTTAGCCCTTTAAAAAAAGGGTGGAAAAAAAGGAAAGGAAAAAAGGAGAGGTTTCCCCCTCCTCTCAATAAGGCCAAAGGATTTGAAAGAATAGAATAGAAATAAGAACGGAATAGAATATTGGAATGTAGAATAGAATAGAAATAATAGGATAGGATAGAAATAATAATAGAATAGGATAGAATAGAATAGAATGAATAAGGAATAGAATGGAATAGAATAGAAATAATAACAGAATAGAATAGAAATAATAATAGAATAGGATAGGATAGGATAGAATAGAAAATATGGAATGGGATGGAATAGAAAGAGGAGAATAGAAATAGAAAGAGGAGAGCAGAGAAAGAGGAGAGAATAGAAATAGAAAGAGGAGAGGAGAGAAGGAGAAAGAGGAGAATAGAATAAATAGAATAAAGGAGAATAGAAACAGAAATAAGACAAGAGAAGAGAAAGGAGGAGAAGGAGAAAGAGAAGAGAATTGAAAGAGGAAAATAGTAATGGAAATAGAAAGGAGAAAAGAAAGGAGAAGGAGAATAGAGTAGAGTAGAGTAGAGTAGAGTAGAATAGAATAGAATTCTTTATTGGCCAACTGTGGTCAGACACACAAGGAATTTGTCTTCAGTGCATAAGCTCTCAGTGTACATAAAAGATATAAATAAACTCTGATTACAA